TAGAGGTCCTTCATCAAAAAATTATGGCAGAATGTGCAGCAGTCGCCTCAGACACATCGACTAAACATTGTTCAAATAACTGCTCAGTATTGTGCTATGTAACTCTAGCTGTTAATGGCTACCGCTGTAACTGACTTTGAGCAATCTAAGTAACTGTACAGGTACATATTCATAGGAATATTTTTATTAAACCTAGCATAGCCTCTGATATGTATGATTTAATTATAATTAAGTTCAATACTAAAGCACAAGAATTTTTGGCTAATCTTTGGAATATGGTAACAGGTAGTTTGGCGACATTTTGGTAAGGTGATAAATGTTACTAGCTAGGACTTTAGCAGTGTACATGGATAAAGTCAAGAGTGTGCGCAATGCCATTTTTGTGCAATTCTGGGATGTTTTTTTAAGTGAAAATAGGTCGACGTGTACATGGATACCGTGTATGTGCAATTCTTAAAAACGCGGCAAGCGATTCTGCACTTTTCCCAATTTCGCACCTAATCTTTGTCATGATTAAGCACTTTTGTTCCATAAAAGTTCTAGCATAAGCGTAATTCGGCTAGCAGATTGTTGGAAAAAAATGTTGAGTTTAAAAAAAAAAAAAAAAAAAAAACTGCCTTTACTTCGTGAAAACAAAAGGGCGTCCAAAAAAAAAAAAAAAAAAACTAGCAGGTTGCTGTAGCAGAGTTGGTCGCCAAATTTTCACCAAGTTACCATAATCCGAATATTAACCGAATTTTCTTTTATTATTAAAGTGTGTGCATTTTTTTGATAGGCCGTTTATAAATATAGATGAATTTTAGTTTAATAGGACCGAGGGCCAGACAACCAGCACCTGAGTGGTAAAGTCGCTGAATACTAGATATTTAGCCCAGGGTTCCAATTTTTGCCGATGCATGGGTGCTTTCATGGTTTTCCTCAAGTGTAATGTGTTTAAGAGCCAGTTTCCCTTTGAAAGTCTTCCATAAAGCATCCCTCCTGTTAAGTAGATAGCACTCGAGTGCTTTGCATAATTAAATAAACCAAACCAAACCGAGGGCAAAAAAATCACTAAACCAAGGGCACTAAATCATGCTACTTGGCCGGTCAAAGGGATAATAGTAAGAACCTAAAACAGTATTAAAATTAATACACTGCATTTTTGTGGATGCCAATTGCCTCGTATTTAGCACACATTTGTAATTAGCATCTATGTTCCCCATAGCCTTTTATCATTTGAGCAAAGGATCTTTTGTCAAATTTGTGACTATCATACATTTTTCTGTTAACTTTAATTTAAAACTGTGTAACTTCACGTTCCCTTAAGTCAAGGATGAATATTCCATAACATGTGAAGAAAACATATATTTATTTTCTCATATGTCGAACCTTTTTCAGTATTATACTCAAATATAAGACTTCATACTATATTTAAAGTTTATATATATATCAATAAACCAGAGCCTGATCTTTACATTAAAAAAAATCAAATCACATCAGGAAACGAAATTTGAGATTAACACTACATGATATTCAAATTTTATATAATTTTAATTTCAGCTTCAACATTATTCATTTCCTAGATTAAATCTTAACATGGACTATTTAGATATGTTATGTCCTACACTTCCTTCCCTACAAAAAAAGGGGCCCACCAGCGTCAAGCGGTTAAGTCGCTGAACACTGGTAGTTCGGTCTGAGGTTTCGAATCCCGCAACAGGCTGGCTGCATGGATGTTTTCATGGTTTTCCCCATGTGTAATGTGTATACAAGCCAGTTTCCCTTAGAAAGTCCTCCATGAAGGCATCCCTCTGCTTAGGCAGATAGCCCTCGAGCTATAAATTGCCTATAAATCACATAAACCAAATCAAACCCTGCAAAAAAGTTAGGAACAGATTATCATTTTAACACAGTAAACCTTTTTCTTTGTGATCACTTCTGAAACTGACTCCTCAATCTACTTCTCCTCAATATACAAATTCTGGTACTGAACATCTTTTTGAAATGACAAGCGCTTTACACAAAATTAAAATCATGTAGAACTGCTGGTGGTCATCTTAGAGAGGGTTCACTGTATTTATTAAAGGTCAGAAATTTATTCAACTATTTCTAAAAATGTAAATTAATCAACAAAATCTGATATTAAGTACTTTGTAAGCATAATTAATAACAACTTCCAAGTTTGATTTAGTATATATGATTACAGTTTATTACACTAACGAATGTCATTTGCTCGACAGATATGAAGAATTTCTTTTGAGGAGCTGTTTTGCTTGGAGGGTTGGTTTAGTTTGTTTGATTATGGAAAGCATACAAGGTTTTTGTGGGAGGATTTTCTAAGGGAAAAACTCTCATATCCATGTTACACATGTGGAAAAACAGGTAAGTGGTCATGCAGCCAACCTGTCCAACTGAAATCAAACTCAGATCGAACTATCAGCGTTCCAGTCACTTTTACCACTCAGCCGCTGTTGGCTGTGTGGGGAGGGCCATGAAGGATTAGGTTATTTAATTACGGCAAAGCCTCGAAGGCTAACTGCCTAAGGGGAGGGATGCCTTCGTGGAGGACTTTCTAACGGAAACTGGCTCTTATACACGTTACACATGGGGAAAACTACGAAAACGCCCATGCAGCCAGCCCGTTCACAGGATTCAAACCTCGGACCGAGCTACCAATTTTCAGCGACTTTACCGCTCGCGCTGGTGGGCTCGAGGGCCATGAAGGAAAATAATTACATGCACTGAAAACTGAATTCTAAACTAAATGTATAAAGAAAGCAATGGAAATTCACTTATCAACACTAGTTCTTATTAAATTAAAATACTGCTTAAAATAAATTTATAAAGCTATTGAATGAAAATTTTCTGTTAACATATTTCAGACATGTGTAAGGAGTAACAGATTAATTATTTCTAATACTATTAAGTAATTTTGGTTATCTTGAATTATGGTAACTTGGCGATTTTTGGCGACCAACCCTACTACAGCAACCTGCTAGTTTTTGTTTGGACGCCATTTTGTTTTCACAAAGTAAAGGCATATTCTTTTTTTTTTTTTTTTTTTTTTTACTACACATTTTTTTCGAACAATCTGCTAGCCGAATTACGCTTATGCTAGAACTTTTATGGAACAAAAGTGCTTAATCATGACGAAGATTAGCTGCGAAATTGGGAGAAAGTGTAGAATCGCCCACTGCTTGCCGCGTTTTTAAAAATTGTACATACACGGTATCATCCATGTACACGAACTATTTTCACTTAAAAAAAATCCCAGAATTGCACACACTCTTGACTTTATCCATGCACACTGCTAAAGTCCTAGCTAGTAACCTTTATCGCCTTACCAAAATGTCGCAAACTACCTGTTACCATATTTCAAAGATTAGCCTAATTTTCTTATAAAGGAATTAAAAAATAAAAACAAACAAAATCTTCTTTAGAGAAATTATTCTACTATTAAAAATCATATACTACTGGAATTAACATCCCACTTTATCCAAAATTAAATAAATGCATTTTTAATTGAGAAATCAAGTTGTGCAGAAATATTAAATATGAATACATTAATTAATCTTAATTGTTTAAAAAAACTGAATGTGAAGATGGGAAAAATTAAGAGAAAAAAGCTTTGTAGACTATTTGCTAGGAAATCTGACATTCTGAAAAATGAATACATGCATACACACACACACTCATATTTATATGTATAAAACACACACAAATTGATAGATATAATTCACATATGATTAATTATATATTGAAAATATATGTATGTGAGCATGCGTGTGTATACGCACTCAGGCATATAGTGAGAAATTTTAAAATGTTTGAGACATAAATTTATATTCCTTCTGGAACAGTAAGGAAATAATACTTTAAAGGAAAATTTAAAAAATAGTGTCACTAGAACAAATTTACGTTGCAAAGTAAAAATGTTTTTCATTCAAACAACGCACTTCCTCACGCCGACTAACAGAATGTAAACAAACGTCAGAATGTGACATCACTCATGTGGGCGGAGTTAATGGTGATCCTTATCTGGATTGTCATTGGCCAAACTTAAGCTGTTGCCCTAGCAGTGTACATTTTGCTTATATGCCTCCGGCCCTGGAGAGACGCTCGCGTAAGACACTGCCGGCCTCAGCGATAAGCGAACGTTTTCGCTACCCGGCTCGAAGGGGTTAAGTCCAAGAACAGAAATGTCAACTCAAGAAGGCTTAATTACCCTTTATTTACTGTAAATAAAGATTAGCAGATGGCCCCTTCCTCAGGGCGTACAATAAAGCCTTCACTTGGGCTTAAACTCAAAATGTAAGAGACAAGAACTTAACTAATGACTAACTAAAGAGATTTAGCCGAAGCTAACACAAATTCTAATCTAGTTGGCCCGTAATAGTAAATTAGCTAACGATGCTATCAAAAGGCACGTAATGCAGCCGAGCGTAGTAACAGTTAGAGAGACGTAGCCAAAAGGCAAACGCGCGCTAGTCAGGAATCCTAATTCTTTCTCTACGTCAGTGGAACTTTGACTTAAATACTTCTCATTTGTATTTAACGTGATTCTAGAAACTCATTCTGGTAAGGAATTGTAAGCTGAAGCTAGAAGAGACAGGAAAGGTGCTTTAACTTAAAATAACTGTTATAAAATTAGGATATACCTTACAACTCATGTAATTCTGTGTTACAGAATAATTAGAATTACACTTTGGTACACAACAGTGGTCAAGCATTGCTCTCGTACACTGGCAAAATTAACACTGAAAAGAATGCCAGCATACGTCGTACTTAGCTTCCAAGACCGATCATCGGAAAAACGTGGACGGTAAAATGTGACTCATATCCCTAAGATGCTTGACGAGTGCTATGGTCCCCTTTCACGAAGGCCACGATACGAGCTAGTTCCCCTAAAGTTTTGCTCAGATGTTGATAAGAAAATAACCCTTACAGTTTTTCAAAAATATTATTTTTGTTCTAAAATGATTATTAAGTGATATATATTATATATATATATTTTTAATTTTTAGATGGATTATGTGCGAAATTTCGTGTCTGCATATCAACAAAAAATGATTCCCTACTTTGGTTTTTCATTCCTTGCTGAGATTAGTCACGAATATTTGTACAGGGTGACTGCAGCCGATGACCAATTTGAAGACTTCTTTAAATTTTTAAATGATGGAAATTTCTTGAACGATACTGTGTTGATAGTGATGTCCGACCATGGCCACAGATTTGACGCCATCAGGACAACTCAGGTAAAACGTCAAACTGCTGAATATTTCACAATGCTTGTTGTTACTATTTATGTATTCTAAAATTTCTGCTTTATTTGTATTAATAATTACAATTAATGCTTTAATTACAAAGAATGCTTTAAATGCCCCATCTGGTGGCTGTGTCTCTGGATTACGTCTATATTTTAAGAGAGCATTTGTTACGATTAGCAGTCGACATTTTCAAATCCTTTATTTACAATTTTCTAATAGTCCATCCATTATTTTAGGATAGCGAGACGCTAGAGAGAGCGCTATGATTTTGATTTTACAGGTAGGAACAGCAATAAACGAAGATGAGCAAAAGATTTTATTGATTTTCTATTTTATCATTTTTCAAGAAATTTGGGAATAGAATCACGTGTAAGATTGGCAACTCTGTCGGGATGGAATGAAATATTTTAAATCAAGACAACGCACTCAAGGCCTTCGCACTTGGCTCACTCCAGATTTATAAAACACTTTTTACGAGAGGAGGTTTATTTGTATAATAAATAATTCTTTATTTACTTTGTAAGGAGTTTTCTCCCTCCTTTCTGCATGCCTTCGTGGTGTAACGGTTAGCACACTTGGCACGTATTTGAGAGATCCAGGTTCGAGTCCCGGAAGGGTCATTGCTCACTTCTCAAGTCTCCTGCTTCAAAATAACCTAGTGTCTCTGCAGTGGCACTCGAACTAAGAGGTGGTGGATGATGATTCTTCACCCTCAGGATTTGGCGATTCCCCTGGTCCTTAGTCGCCCTTTAAAAGGGGAAGTATGTAATTTGTTTTCTCCTTCCTCTCTGCAGGCTTTCATGGTGTAACGGTTAGTACACTCGGTACGTATTCGAGACGTCCAAGTCTAGTCTTAGCGAGAGCACTGCACATTTTTCACATTTCCTGCTTAAAATAACCTAATGGCTCAACAACTTTTAATTTTTAATTATTACTATATGGAACATTACCAGCAGTTTCCGATTCATATTTCACTCTCTCATCCTCATCAACAAATGCTGAACCGAACGATATAGGGATTGATGAAAGCTGAGCTAACGTCTGAGCCATCGTTAAATGCAGGTTTAGACTCTAGGACAGCGGTTGGGGAACTTTTTTAATCATTACCCCAAAATATTCTTGTGTAAGTTGATATTACCCCATGGCGAAGAGCCCCCCCCCCAAAAAAAAAAAACCGAAATCGCCTCTTTTTAGCATCTTTCATATTATAGCTCCCCCATGATAATTTTGAAAAGAAAACAATAACTAAAAATTTAATTTAAACATCATTTATTCAGACTAGAAGAGAAACACGCTAATGTGACAATCAAAATCGTAAAAAACAACCTTATATTTAGCGTAGGTATAATGAAACACTCAATCAATTTCGAGGGCAGCTTTTTTTTTTTTTTTTTTTTTTTTTTTTAAGTTCAGATTTTGAGCGTAATGTGCATTTGCCCCTCGCTCCCTATTTTAACTTCGCTAATATTTCTTTATGCTTGATCAGACAGCCTGGCTCAGTAAAAGTAGGCGGCCAGTGCAACTCTGATTAAAAATCTAGTTATAACCACGTGCAGTGCTGATAAGCACCACGTGTTTCTGTGATTCCTATTTTCTTCTTTCTATGTATTTCTTTCTCCTGATGAGGAGGGACCTTTAGCTGCCCTCGAAATCGATTGAGTGTTTCATTATACCTACGCTAAATATAAGGTTGTTTTTTACGATTTTGATCATTTATTCAATTTATCAATGTAATACCTAGTAATACATAACTGTAATAATAGTAATATAAGTAATATATATAGCAAATTGAAACCCATTGGGGTACAATTGAGGGTTGACAATTTGGGGTACTGTAACAAATTATAATAATAATAATAATAATGGTGGTACAAACAAAAATTAGAATTGAAAAAATTAGAAAAAAAAAGAATAATTGAAAACATTCTTCCTTCACGTTTTGGAGAAATGATGTTGTTTCATGTTCGATACAATTGCTTCAAAATTGGGACTTTTTGATGTAAGAGCGATTTGAATACAGTCTTCGGCGTTTAATCGATTTCTGTTCTTCGTTTTTATGTTCATTAGAGTGGAAAAGCCTTGTTCGCACAAATATGTTGTTCCAAACGGCAGCAATTTTTTAACCGCCTCTTCATGTGCAATTTTGAAAGCCTTTGCAGCTTTTGACATCCAAAAAGACGACAGATTTGGTTTACTCTCAAATTGAATACGTGCTTCAGTATTAGATCGAAGTTCAAGAATTGCTTCTGCCAAACCTGAAGGTTCTTCTGGTATCGTAGCAATTTCACATTTAAAAGGATCTACAATCCAACTGACAGTACGTGTATCAAGATCTGGAAAGTAATCTGAAAACCGCTTTCTAAGTTTGATAAGATGTCTTACAATTGTATCCTTGATGTCAGCAAAAGTAATATTTTCGCAATCTTCCAAAAACAAAGCTAAACTTAAAAAAGAAGCTATCTTGTTCTGTTCTACTCTCTGTCTCCAATATTGCAGCTTTAATCCAAACGCTGACACTATTTCTCTCGCTGAAATGATATTAATATTCTTTCCTTGCAATTCTTTGTTTAATATATTATGCTCTCAAAAATGTCCGCTAAATATGCGAGATATGCAACCCAGGAAGAGTTTTTAAACTTATCTGCGAGAATATTTTTTTGATCAACCATAAAAATTTCGACTTCAGTTTTGAGAATCCATACTCGATTTAGTACATTTCCGCGAGAGAGTCACCTTACTTCTGTATAATAAAGTAGATCCGTATATTCAGCTTCACCGTCCTGACATAATTCACGAAATAGCCGCGTCTTTAGTGCATGTCCTTTGATAAAATTTACAATCTTGATGACATCATGCATGACGACTTCCAGTGTAGGTTTTAAATATTTGACCATAAGGGCCTGGCGATGGATCATACAGTGAGTAACTTCAATATTTGGGTTTTTTTTTTTTTTTTTTTTTTTTTTTTTTTTACGAAAGCCGAAAAACCATTAATATGACCCAGCATAGCTGGAGCTCCATCCAAAGATACAGAAATATAGTTTTCCCATTTTAAACTTTGCGCATTGAAGTATTCATTTACTTTATTGTAGACATCAATTCCACGAGATCTCAACTCGAGAGGAGAACAAAACAGCAACTCCTCTTCAAAATTATCTGCACCTTTGTAGCGAACATATACCATTAGCTGTGAATTGCTTCTAAAAATCAGTTGTCTCATCAAGCTGAATAGCAAAATATTTAGCCTGTTTTAATGCGAAAATAACCTGTTCCTTCACATTTTCTGCTAATATAGAAATTCGTTCTTTCACAATTCTCGGAGACAAGGGCACTGAATTCAGTTTTTTCGCTTCTTTTTGACCACACATAATCTCTGCCATTTTTACAGCAGCTGGTATAACCAAATCTTCACCAATAGTGTATGGTTTCTTATTTCGAGCAATCAACCAGGCTACTTCGAAGCTAGCCCTTGATGATGAACGCTGATCAAATGTACCAAACAAGTTACTATTCAATCTTTGTCTTTTAACAGATATTTCTAAATTTGGAAATTTTCTCGCGGTTTGGAAGACAGGTGTGAATGCAAATTATCTAAATGTTTCTTCAATTGACTTTTTTTGAACAATTCTGAAGTCAGTACCTTCATACATACAACACACTGTGGTTTCATTGTACCATTGTCTTCTATTTGTGTAAAACCGTAATTAAGGAATTCGTCTTGGTATGTTCTTTTTCTATTTGCTGCCATCTGAAGGGAGACAGAAAATAATAGTTGTAATATACTTGAATTAAATTTTCAAATTGTTTTAATTGTTTAAGTTGAAAAAATACTAACAGGTTTATAAAATAGCAAATTAAAAATATATACTTTTTACCCACAAAAGTTAATTTTTACCCCCAAAAATTTCATTTTTACCCCATTTGGGGTAATTTACCCCGGTTCCCCGACCGCTGCTCTAGGATAAGTATGAATGTTTCTGACTGGTAGTGTCTTTTCTGAGTGATGGTATTTAAATTTGGTTAATACAAAATTCTTATTAATACACGAAATTTTCAACGGTGGATTTTGGAGGCAGAAGAAGCACAAGATCCTCGACTGAAATTCCCAGAGGTCTTTTTAATTGGAATTGGGATCTTATTTGGAAACTAAAAAAGACAACGATTATGTGCGAACTATTTCTGTCATTCTCTTCAGAAAGTATAGTCGTCTTTCTCTTATCCAATTATCGCCCATTCTGCAATCCTGTTTCAAAAAAAAAAAAAAAAAAAAAAAAAAAAAAGAGTCATTTATTCTGTCTGTACCTACAGATGGTCACGCGAAAACATCGCTCAAATGAATTCGAGAGCGGTCGAAATGGATATTTTCTTTAAGATATGATACTCAAAAATTTTCGCAATCTTCTGGATTCAAATTTAATTTTCTGATGAGAAAATTCACACTTTCTTACCTGTGTGAATACTTCTTCAATAAAAGGAATTACTTCATTCGAAATTCCTGAAACAAATAATTTACTGAAGCTCCTCGAAGCACATGCCAGACCAAGTCTATGGAGGTCATCTTAGAAAAGTGTTAATTCCCCGTATCAGTACGATTCCTAAGATAGCATATTCCAGAACAGAAATGCTATTAATATTTGCAGAACTGCATAAATAGCGTGCTGATGTGGTTGACCGGCAGGTGGGGCTGTAAATAAATGACGTAGCTGAATTATTTATGCAGCATGAATGATTGATGCATGACAAGAGCGGTTGCTCAAAATATATAACATTTTCTTGGGAATGAATATCTGTTGCTTCAGATAGTTGTCGAAGGTGATGTTTGCCGTTACATAAGTCAAAAGTGTTGCAAAATGTTGTAAATTAAAAGTTTAACTACACTGAGGCATTCATTCTAAAGTTTTGGGGATAAGTAATGGTAAGGATTTTTTAACTCATTTGTGGCAATGTGTTTGCTAAGTACAAGGGCATTATTTATTTCATTCAGAAAA